TGGTCCACGCCCCAAGTTTGTGAATGCTGACTTTGTGTATTGGGGAGGCATAGAGAACAGAACCACCATTCCTGTGAATGTGTAAGTACTTTGAATAGTGTCATAGCGGAGCTCGCAGGGCATAGGCCCATAATTATACAAAATGGTTGTAGTATCCCCTCAAGCCGAAACAATTTGGACTGATGACCGTCCGTGCGTCCGTACGAGGTGCTACTTTTAGCATGCGCGGTCAACTGTACCGCGGGCACGCCAACGCCACGGCTTTGTTCAGTAGTCCAGTGGTCAGTGCATTGGGCTCCGAGTCGGACGACCTGGGTTCTAGTCCCGGCTGGGGCAAGGCGTTGTACCCTTCAGACGTGCAGGGGAAAAAAAAAATACGAGCTCCGCTTTTAGGCTTGGCTAAATCTCTATATTATTGTACACCCCCTTTTTTTTACTTGTGGTAGTCTGATGTTGTACGATAAGCTGAATTACCCATGCATTTTAATTGGTTCTTAGCTATGATCATTGATTTTCGGATTTCAAGTCCACCGACATGTGCACCGAGGCGTAACAAAAGACCCAAATTAAAAGGAATGATAATAAACTGCAATAGCCTCAAAGGTGTTAACCATTCTACTGAATTCAAAGCACTCTTGGAGCTTCATGATGCAGATATTGTCCTAGGAACTTAATCTAAACTTAGTCCGGATATTCCGTCGTACTCAATTTTCCCGCAATCATATACGGTCTTTAGAAACGAAAGAAATGCTTTTGGTGGTGGCGTCTTCCAAGCAATCAAGAATGATCTAGTATGCACCGAAGAACCTGACTTCAAAGTGGATGATTGCGAAGTCCTATGGTCCTCCCTGAAAGAGGCCAATCACAAAACATTGTACCTTTCAACCTTTTACAGACCACCAAATTCGTCTGCTGAGATACTCGATCATGTTAGTGACACCATTAACAACGTCTTCGTGAAAGTCCCAAACCATCAGAACGTCATCATGGGTGGAGACTTCAACTTGGGCGATATCGATTGGAACCAAGAGATCCTGTGTACAACCAATCCTGCTACCACGGCTCAGCCTGACAAATTTATGCACATGCTTGATGATTACTTAATATTATTTCATCATGTCAAAGCCACCACCAGACCTGCATCCGGGAAAACACTTGAGCTGCTTTTATCTACCTATCCAAACAGTGTCTCTCATTTATCTACTTGATCTGGCTTGAGCGATCATCTCATAGAAAACTTTGACATTGATTTAAAGCCCCACCAATCAAATAACCCTCCTCATAAGGTGTTTAACAACAAAAAGGCTGATTTTAATGGTCTGAATGCTTTTATTACGAAGTCTTCATCTGAATTCTTCGCTACAGACCCCGGCATGGCAGAACTCCGTGGAAGAAGCCTGGTCCGCTTTTAAATATGCTGTAACTTCTGGAATCAATCAATTTATACCTAAAGGATGTCCCAAGTCTAAGTTTAAGCTTCCTTGGATCAACCTTCAGATAAAACGTGAAATGCCCAAAAAAAGATCGACGTCATAAAAAGGTAATTCACACGAAAAATCAACATCATTGGAAGGGATTTAAACGTCAACGAAACTGTGTATCAAATCTGATCAAAGAATCACACAGCCGTTATCTTAATGACGTCATCGGCGAAAGCCTTAGGGACAAACCTAAAAAGTTTTGGTCTTGCGCCAAGCACAACAAATCTGAGAACCTTGCCATCCTACCCCTCAAATCTGAGCATGGGCTGAGCATTTCAGACAAAGATAAGGCCGAATCTCTAAATTCCTATTTCTTCTCTGTGTTTACTAACGCAGAGATTGTTATGATTGTAGGGACACAGCAAACGGCTCAGGTAAATCAAACAACAACATAGTTTTAATAGTCCATGATCGAGCGAGCACGAGGGAGCGTGCCAGGTCACATGACCATGACGTAAATAACAATGACATCATAACAGAGATGCTTCCACCTAGTGTCCTTACATCTCCATACCTCTCCATCTCTGATCTACAAATATCACCTGAAGGTGTCGTTAGACCGCTATCTCAGCTAAACCCTAAAAAAGCCTGTGGCCCGGATGAATTGCCATCACGTGTGTTGAAGGAGATATTCCATTCAGCATCTGCGTAGCTTGCTTTTATTTTCCAGCGATCTCTAAACGAAAACTCGGTCCCTTCTGATTGGAACAAGGCCTTCGTTACCGCTGTCCACAAGAAAGACAATAAATCTGTTCCCTCAAACTACCGGCCAATCCCATTAATTTCCATGTGCTGCAAAATCATGGAACATTTAGTACTCAGTCATTTAGTTAAACGCCTGTCGAAAAACAATATCATCATAGACGAGCAACATGGTTTCCGTCAGCGTTACTCTTGTGTAAGCCAATTACTATCTGTCATTCACAAATGGGCAAGATCTATTAATGCACGCAACGAGACAGATGCCATTCTACTTGATTTCTCGAAAGCCTTCGACTCTGTGCCTCACCAAAGATTGCTTCTGAAGCTAGACTATTATGGGATTAGAGGGAACGTCATGCTGTTGATCAAAGCCCTCTTACTGAGTCGATCTCAATGTGTTTCCATTAATAACATTAAATCGACTACCAAGCCCGTTCTATTTGGTGTCCCATAAGGCTCTGTACTGGGCCCAGTATTATTTCTATTCTGTATTAATGTAGACTTGAATACTCCAATAAGGTTTTAATTACGAAGATCTGGTTTGACTGTACAAAAAAGGAAACAAACGTAAACAAAACCAAGCGAAACGAAAATACTGCAGTGACAACATACTTACAAGATGTGTGGACTCGCAGGAAACGTAAAGAAAACATTCATGAGAAAAATGAACAAACATTTAGGACCGAACTTTGACTTCTGGAGGTCCGAGCACATGGTCCATACCATAATATCAACAATACATCACGTAGATTACCAATCCCGCGCGGACTGAACACGGGAATCGTTTTGTAATGTACAGTTAACGATATTTCTAAATCTGTTACCGCAAATCTGCGTCTTTTACCGATGATTGTAACTTATATAGTGAGGTCAAAAGTAAAGAGGATTGCTTGTCTTTGCAGGACGACCTCGATCAGTTATGCGCTTGGTCTGAAACCTGGCAACTCGGTTTTAACGTTAAAAAATGCTACCATCTAGGTGTTACATGCAAAAGAATTCCAACCCTCCATCAATACACCTTAAATGGCTTGCTAATAGCCAAAGTGGACTCCACAAAATATCTCGGAGTAACAATATCAAGTAAGCTGAGTTGGAATGAACAAATAGATCAAGTCTGCAAGAACGCCAACTCTACCTTAGGCCTTCTCCGTCGAGTTTTGTCAAGGTGTGACCGTAAGACGAGACGTACTCTTGTACGTCCCAAAGACACTGCATATCGTACTCTTGTACGTCCCAAAGACACTGCATATCGTACTCTTGTACGTCCCAAAGACACTGCATATCGCACTCTTGTACGTCCCTAAGACACTGCATAT